CCCTCATAGTGAAGAATTTCTTCCTAATGTCTAATCCAAATCCACTCTTTTCCAGTTTAAAGCCATCAATCCCGTCCCTCCCTGCCCTTGTCCCAAGCCCCTCCCCAGCTTTCCTGGAGCCCCTTCAGGCACTGGAAGGTGCTCTCAGGTCTCCCTGGAGCCTTCTCTTCTCCAGGCTGAACACCCCAACTCTCCCAGCCTGGCTCCAGAGCAGAGCTGATCCAGCCCTCTGAGCTGTGTGAGGGATGCAGAACAGTTTCCCAGAGCTGAGTTTTTGGTCACTTTTTTGGCTATCATTGAAGGCAGCTGCAGTCAGGGAGCAGCACAGGCAGGTGCCAGAGGTGACCATGGCACCAGCCATGCCCACGGCCTGAGCAGGGTGGTGAAGTTGGGGTGGTGATAACAGGCTCCATCACCAGCCCCACACAAGGCAAGGTGGTGAACCAGGTCTGGAGGCCATCCAAGAAGTCCAGTCCAGAGCAGCAGCAGAGACAGGGCTGGTGGGAAGCTGCAGTGCAGATCCAAAGTCCATGCAGGATTCCTTCCTCCAGCCATGGTGGTTTTGGGCAGGGGGTGTGAGTGGGGCTTCCCCCTGAGGTTGTTCAGGACAGGTCAGGTCTGCTGGTGGGCTCAGAGTCCTGATGCTTGCCAGAAGTGCATGGAAGTGTCATCTGGCTTCTGTGTGCTGTGTATGATCAAGGAAAGGCATCCTTTGGAAGGCTGTTGACCTTCCTCTTTGCTAGAATTTCCATTTCTGCTTGTATCTCTGACAGACTGGCAGCATGCAAGGCTGGCTGGCTGCACATCTCCTTTTGGATTTTATGTTCCTCCAGGGCACGAGGTGCTCCACAGGACCAGCCATTCTATGCCCAAGGGCTGTTTTATCCACCAGTGACCTTCTGTGTATTTGTTATCTGAAATAGTGTGCTTTAGAATTCTGCAGTTGTTAGGAATCTCCTGTGCAGCTCAGGGATTTACTTCAGGGTTTTTGGGGTGGGTTTTTTTTTTATGCATTCTTGTGCCTTTAAAGAACATTTCTCCCATTCTCCTCTTGTTTGAAGTGATACATAACTTGTAACTTACCTTCCTTTTATTGACTTGAAGAGTGACTAGATGAACTGGTAGGTATTTCCCGTGGGTAACATGTGTGCATCTGTTCCTTATTCTCCCTCACAGCCATATATGCCTATACAAAATTAGCTTTTCTTAGTCTGATAATGCTATTCATGCAAAAAAAAAAAATGACCTAGGGTCAAAATGCTCCTGCAGTGCTGCACCAGAGAGACAGGAGAGAACAAAACTTCAATCTTTTTAGCAGGTACTACATCAATCCACATCTGTTACCCACCCACACCAAACCCCCTCATCCTGAACCCCAACTAAAGCATCAAGGCCTTGGAGTTAGACAGTGCAACAGTCTGAGCTTGTTTCTGTCTAGCTAGTTTCAGTTGTAAAAATATTTATCAAGTGGAAATAATTGCTTGAAAGGCTGCCAGGATCTCTACCAGGCTATAAACCTGTCAGTGTTGGGTTTCTTCTCTGGGTAGAAGAGAGAGGCATCATTAACAGGGCTGGGGAGCACTTGGACTTCTATTGGATTCCCTGTTGCCCCTTTGCTGGGCTTCAGGTTTGAAGGAGCAAATAAAGTGGTAATGGCAGATCTTTGGCTTTTCGTGTTACCACTGTAACTGGGAAATGAGAAAGTCAGAATGATGTCACTTCCCATTCACCAAAGTTTTCTCTCTGAAAGAAAGCAGATGTTTGATACCAGCAAAACACCCCAGGCCTTGGGGGTATTGATTTAATTTGGTTTGATTTTTTTTCAGGAAAAGCTCCCACTGCTGGGCAGTTGGGTTTGGCATCATGTTTTCTTAAAGAACAACCACCCAACCCAAGCCTTTCAAACACTAGACAAAAACAGTTGGGCCAGAGAAAAATAGCACTCCAGCCTCCGTGGGGTTCCATTTGGTAGAAGTAAACTTGCCTTTTGCAGCCTGCTTTTCTTTCCAGCCAAACCATGCACGGCTCCTCATGTCCTCATGATACCCAGTGCAGTGTTTCTGCTGTCAGGGGTACAGAGAAGCCTGTCACAGCCTAAGTACAATGGCTCTGGTGTCTCCTCCTGGCTGTGGGGAGGTGTTCACCAAAGTTTCAATTCTGAAAGCAGAGAATAAAACCAGCAATAAAACCTTAAACATTTGGCCGGGGTAACTCCTCACCCAGACAAGGTTTGCCTTTTCTTTGAGTTGTTCTCTAAACCTGCTCAGAGACGTGGCAGCATTTGTACTGAAGTACTTAAGTATTCAAAATTATTGCAGGACTTTTTCTTTATTAAGTTCTTCCCAGTTCTGGTGGTGCCCTCCAGCATGGGGGTACCTGAAGGGGGCCTATAGAAAGCTGGGGAGGGGCTTTTCACCAGAGGGGGCAGTGATAGGACAAGGTGATGGTTTTAAACTGACAGAGGGGAGATTTAGGTTGGAAGAAATCATCAGGAAGAAATTCTTCACTATGAGGGTAGGGAGGTGCTGGCCCAGGTTGCCCAGGGAAGCTGTGGCTGCCCCATCCCTGGCAGTGTTGAAGGGCAGGTTGGATGGGGCTTGGAGCAGCCTGGGCTGGTGGGAGGTGTCCCTGCCCATGCAGGGAGGCTGGAACCTGATGATCTTTAAGGTTCCTTCCAACCTGAACCATTCTATGAGTCTATCTCTAAGGAGTCCCAGCTGTAGAAGGAGCTGATGGGGGAGCAGGATCTGAATGGATTGGCTCTTTCTGCAGTGTGGTGGCAATAGGCAATAGGCAGAAGGGTATTAAAATACTGCTTTGGAAATGACATAACTGGCTGCTTTTATTTTAAGAGGTTAAAAGGTGCAATGATCAGACTTCAGCTTGTTTTCCAACATCGTTGGTGAAACACTCTTTTGAGTTGTATTAGGTAGCTGTGGGATTCATTAGACATGTAAACTAGGTTTATAGGAAAAAACCAAAAGGTTGAGCTGAAGTTAACTATAATATTTTATTTCATGGTTCCTGTGTGTGTGTCGGGACCAAGGGTCAGCACAGTTTGTGTTATGTCTGAGGCCTGGGGATATCAGCAGCCTGGTCTCCTTGGTGGGTGGGTTGTTGTTCAGTGCAAAGCCAGCCAGCACTGCGGGCTGTGGGAGATGCTCATCCTGCCAGGAAGATCACTTCATTACAGCAGAAACCCCCCACATTTTCCCAGAAAAGTGAAAACATTGTGCTAAGTGCCACATTGGGTTTTTTCCAAACCCTTGCCAACAAAGTCCCTGTGATGTTACCCATCCTTTTCAAATGGTTGTTTCTCAAAGGCTTGCTTTCACAAGGAACTTCAGAGAGGAGTTAAAATAATATTAGTGGTGCACTGTTCTTCTTGGCATGTTCCTCAAGTTACTTGCAACTCCAAAAATGTTGGGCGTTGTCTTTTTGTTTGTTAGGCCCAGTGCACTGGGACAGCTCTGTGGATACAGTAAGACAAAGAAAAAATGGGATTGAACTTCTCTGTCTGCCCTGCAGTTCTGCTCCTGCCTGCAGCACGTTTTCATTTCATACTTTCACAGGCAGGATCTGAGCTGCTGGCAGCCAGGGAGTGCACAGGTAATTCTGAGGAGCTGTGCAAAGGGCTGGAAAGATGTTCTGTATGTTTAGTGGCATGAAGAGAACACTGGGTGGAAACACGGAAGAGTTTCAGTAACTCATTTAGGGCAGTTCAGAAAGCTTCTGGACTTCTGGAAAATGTGTTGGAAATGGAGAAGAGCTGGTGTCTGCAGACTCTTGCTGTTGAGTTGATGGGAAGCCACTGGGGTTAACAAAAGACCTTAACAAACTGCAACTTGGATTTCATCCTGAGTGATGTTGCCAATTGGTTTCTCTTGGTGTAAACTGTTGAAAGGGAAGAAACACCATGTATGTCATCTGCAGAGGAAACAGCTGCAGCCCTCTGAAAAAACAAGTGTTGTATTTGACATTTCTTAGCTATTCAGCATCTGGAGCAGTTTTAGGGCTCTTCTACAGTAATTAGGAAAGGCTACTGCTCTCAGCTTTCATGTAGTGGTGCTCAAGGGGTAAGTGATTCTTTATTATGAACAAATTTTGGAGTAAATGGAGGGGGAAAAATAAAAATTCACAATTGCAGAAGTGAGACCAGAATCTGGCTGGTGGTGCCTCGTTCAGTGTCAGTCCTGTTTGGCTGGCTGGTAGGTTTGCCAGTTCCCCTGCAGGGAGCAGGTTTGATCTGAGCCTCCCATCACAAGGTTTTGATTCCTGTTTGGAGTGTTTCTCTAAATTACTTCAGAAAAGTGTTTTCTTTCTAAAACATTGATGCCCTCTTAATTTCTGCTGTAAATTAGCCTGTAGATTCTCAGGATAAATATGTATGATTTAGATTTAGTCTTTTTAGAGTCTCTTTTCTCCTGGAAATATTCCTAAATACCAGAGATGACTAAATCTGTGTGTAGAGGTGAGGGAATGGAGATACAGTGACTGCAAGGAGCTGATGGAAGCTTCAGCCTTGGTGTGGAGATCCCATTTGGGAGCCACAGGCTGAGGTGGAAGACTGGCTGGAAGGTCTGGGTCTTGATCTACCAGAAGTGTGAAAGGAGAACCAAACTGTTGGACCAAACTGAGATTGGGATCCTTCTGGGCTTTGATGTGCTTTGGAGTTTTGTATGAAAAATTCAGGTGCTGTTGTTGGGTTTATAGCAAAGAGATTTTACCAGGCACCAGGAGTGAAGGCAGCAGCAGGCACAGGAAGGGCACACAGGAATCTGGATGTTCTTTTGGTGGTAGAATACACCCTGAAATGCAGGAGCTTTTATCCCTAAGGAAAGTGTTCCATGACAATCGTGTTTTACACCATTCACATTTTAATTTCCACTCAGTTTCTGCTTCTCTGACAATTGAGATGTCAGCCTGAGTTCCTAGTGACAGGTTGTGAGACATAAGCATGTTAGAAACAACCCCAAAATCCCTGAAATTAAGCTCCCCACCCTTTTTCATGCACCCCTACCCCCGTGTAACATTGTCAAATAAAATGGACTAAGGTGGGTTTAAATACTGAGCTGTTCGTATGAAAAATAGGATGTGTGGTTTGTGCAGGAAGGCAAATATTTAATTATTATTAAATAACACAGGATTATATTAATCCTGTCATGGTTTTGCTGCTGTCCAAGGAAGGGGAAGTTGATATCTAAGTTACATGTACATGGAATGTTATAGATGAGGAGAGTCTCTGAAGAGGGAGCTGGTGAATAACTCAGATGCCTGAATTGACACAACAGTCCTGTGTAGGTAATCCTGTGGCACTGTCTCCAAAAAACAAACCCGTGTTTGTTCCTGTCTGGTTTAGTCTTATTTCTGCAGAGTAATTTGGATGGTTGTGCTCTTCAAATTACTGAAAAGTGAAGGTGCTCAGACATTTCCTTGCTCAGCTAGTTGCATGCATAATAAATCACATACAGCCAATTGAAGACAGTCCCTGTCTCTTTGCCCACTTTGCCATAAATATCATCTGTGTTGGAAGCAACAAATTTATCCAGTGGGAAGAAATACTGTAAATATTTGAAAATTAATGTGATTGCATTTGGGGGGTTTAGTTCTGGGTTTGTGTGGTAGTGTTTATTGCATCATAGAACCACAGGCTGGTTTGGGTTGGAAGGGACCTTCAAGATCATCCAGATCCAACCCCCCTGCATGGGCAGGGACACCTCCCACCAGCCCAGGCTGCTCCAAGCCCCATCCAACCTGCCCTTCAACACTGCCTTTTGAGGTGTGACCTTGTGCAGGGATGATTCCTGAGCTCCTGTGGGGAACCTGGTGTTTCACTGGTTGGCTGGCCTGCATCTTCCAAAGGCACGGCAGAGCTGCAGCTCCAGGAGGACAGTGTGTTTGCTAACAAAGGAACCCTCCTGCTCAGCTGAGGTAGGACCTGCTAAACTGTGAGCACATTTGGCCACAGCTCACACCAACCTTTAGATGCTGCACAACCCGATGAGCAAAATAGAAAAAATAGCAGTTGTGTTTATTAGGGCTTTGTAGATGAAGAGATAAGAGCTTAATTTAGATTCATTCCACGTGACTTTGCTATAAAGGGTCATCTTCAAGAGAGAACAATCTGCGCCAGCAGGACACACCAGCATCCTCACCCAGCAGCAGGACCCTCTCCAGACTGCTAGCACACCAGGATACTCTTGGATACAGGGAACCTGGTACCCAGCAACACTGCATGGACAGATAATGGGTAATACAGACCTGCGACCTTAATGAACCTGCCCAGCAAGTCATTCCCAAAGGCAGGTGTGGGGACACTGCTGAAATGTGTCACTGGTTCCAACTGACCTTGCAGGGCAGTGAAATGATGGGGGGGGAAGTGTAAACTGTCACCACATCTGAATAATGCTCATGAAAAATCTAGTGTAAGGTTTTTATCCTACCAGAGAGCACAGCTTATGTATCAAGAAACATCCTCCCCTCCATTTACTGTTTTTCTAAAAGTGAAGGGCCAGTTTGAGCACAAGAAGAGAACATGGAGAAGTTCTGGTTAAACACAAGGAAAAATGTGTAGGGGCAGTGAAATCCCCAAGGCAGTGGTTGGAGCTGGTGCTGCTCCCAGAGCCTGGGGCAGGGGGGAGTCCAGGGGTCCCTTCCCAACTCTGTTGCTCTGGTCCTGCAGCTCCTCAGGGCCTCTCCACAGGTAAGAATGGACAAGGCTGAAGTGTAGGGACACTGAGAGAAAACCCAGTCCCTGCCCTAGGAAGACACAACTCACCCTCCAACCTCAGCTCTCCTTGTTCAGCTAAACACACATTTACATCTAATAGGACAACTTAAATAAAATTTCTTTATTTATCCTCTTTGTATGAAGTTACGTTTAGAAGTTTTATTTTACAATGTTCCAGCTCATTACATTTGGTAAACCCAGGAAACAGGTATTTTTAAGGTGTCCATGACTTGGACAGTCACTGAGTCACAATGAATCCACCTTTGTTGTCAGGGAGGTGATCAGAACGTCCTGTCCAGGGGGTGGGAACAGATATAGGCTCTCTTTTCCAGTACCTGCTTTGCAGCTTTTTTAATAAAGTCATCCTGGTTTTCTTCTACATCTACGGAGAATCAGAAGGAAAGTTACCAGAAGGACCCTAAACCCCTTTTCCACGTTTCTTTCAGAGAAGGTTTTAGAATAAAAATGCAAGTATCTGCCTTTCTGTGCCAGGAGACAACGTAACATTCTCTTGTAAGAAAACAGATTCTCACAGACTGATCCCACAGAGGTCAGTGCTCAGCCAAGCAGCTCAGATGCCTCCTAGTTACCCAGTATCTCTGTCCACAGCCTTTCCTGCTCAGAGATCTCAAATCTCCCCACAGAGACATGACACGAAAGGATGGGTTCCAGCAGGTACCAGCTCAGTATCTCATCCCCATGACAAGCAGAGCAAAAGGGGCCTGGTGGTCACGGCACCATCACCTACTTCTGCTTAGTCTGAGAAAGCCATAAAAGTAAAAAAAACCCCACATACTGTATAGAACTTACATTTTTCTAGTTGAGACATGGCATAATTGTTCTTGAAATAGGCTTCTGTGCAGAAGATATTTGTAAGCAGCACCTGAGAACAGCAGGAAATGCAGGTAAAATGAGTGACTGAATTTCATAAAGTGTCATAAACCCAGTGTCTTTACCCTGCAGGATTGTCCCGTGACCCAGGAACGTGCTGAGCTCAGTGCTCCCTTCCCCAGAGCTGGGAATCACCCCTCACTGACACTTGAGAGAGAGACACCCACACAGAGCAGCACACACAGTGAGACAGGACACACAGAAACACACACAGACACATGCACTGACATGGCTGCACCCACACACAGACACACCCCCTGAGACACATGGGCACAGGGACATGAACACAAACATGGGCACACACACTGACAAACATGGGCACATGGGCACACCCACATGGGCACAGGGACATGAACACAAACATGGGCACATGGGCACACCCACATGGGCACAGGGACATGAACACAAACATGGGCACATGGGCACACCCACATGGGCACAGGGACATGAACACAAACATGGGCACATGGGCACACCCACATGGGCACAGGGACATGAACACAAACATGGGCACATGGGCACACCCACATGGGCACAGGGACATGAACACAAACATGGGCACATGGGCACACCCACATGGGCACAGGGACATGAACACAAACATGGGCACATGGGCACACCCACATGGGCACAGGGACATGAACACAAACATGGGCACATGGGCACACCCACATGGGCACAGGCACATACAAACACAGACAGGGACATACACACAGTGACATGGACACACACCCACATGGGAAAACACACAGGACCACAGTGACATGGACACACACCCACATGGGCACAGGCACATACAAACACAGACAGGGACATACACACAGTGACATGGACACACGTGGACATGGACACACTCACAGACACCCCCAACACACACACACACACACAGAGACAGACACAGGCTGGCACACAGACATGGTCACACACATGGACATGGACGGACACATGGACACACCCACCCACACATGGACACGTATCCACACGTGGGCACACACAGACACACACACACAGGAACACAAACAGGGGCACTCAGACACATTGGGATGCACATGGATGCACCCACACATGGGGACAGGGACACACACACAGGCACACCCTACCACCTTTCCTACCGCCCTGCAGTCTCAAGGCCAGTAAAGACAAAGGTTACACTGACCTGTACCAGCAATAACTGGCACCACAAAACTTTAAATAAAACTAATCTACGACCTCCTGCATGTCACTTTCAACAAATTGCTTGACAAGAATGTAGTTATATGCTATTATTTATCAATGATTACATGGAAGGAGCTTGGGAAGAACTTCATGTGCAAGCAGGTTTAAGAGAAAATGCAGATCTTTGGTTACCTCAGAACTGTGCATGGAAGTGTTGCAGTATTTGAACACAGTAAGCTGGATGTTCAGAGCCCCCAGCAGCAGCAGGTGTGGGTTGTGCACTGCTGCACCACGTTAGAAACACTGCTGCACTGAGGCTTTTGCAGGAGAGTTTGCTGTGGCAAGATACAAATTCTGACCCATTGCAGAAGGCAGTTGAGGTGCCATGAAATCTTTGTCAGGCAGGCCCTGCAAGGGCTGAGCCAGCAGCCTGACCTGCCCGCTGGGTCAGAGCAGCTTCCTGACAGCAGCGTGTCCCTGCAGCCTGGCAACAGCTGAGACAGGACAGGCCACCTCTGAGGGCAGAGGGAGCCACCTCACTGCAACACCTCGTGAGGCTGAGGGTGACAGGCCCTGCTGGTCACACTGGGTGACCCACAGGCCACAGATAGGAGCTCAAGGCCACCTACTTCATGGTCGTGGTTCCTCAGGCCGATGCTGATGGAGCGACTGGCTCTGGAAATGGCTGCAGTCATGGCATAAAGGTTAATCACTATATCTGCCACTCTCTTCAGAACCAGCTGCTCATCCACTATTGTCTAGAAGAGAAAAATTTATTATTAGCTCATAGTTCATCAATTTAAAACTGTAACCTAAAATTTTTTTTATATTCTGTATTCAGATTCACTGAATTCTGTATTCACTCCTTAGCACAGACAGGAAAACTGCCACACAGAATTTCTAGTTGAAAGTGTTGGATTAATCACGTTCCACCTTGTAACTGTTTGGCTGCAGCCAACTGTAAAATTGCTGTGTCTTGAAGCCACTTCAGTAAATGCCAAAAATCACTTCAAGTAACAAATAAATTAAGCCTGTTCAGAAATGTCCTGGGCAAAGTGGCACGAGGCAGGACCCAGTCTGAGAAGCATTCTCAGAACACAGCAGATTTAACTGCCACAAAACTGAAAATGCAGGGCAGTCCAGGTTCAGTCTCCCCTGTTTTACCTACTCCCCTTTTGCACAGCATCATCACAGAGCTGTTTGCTGCACAACGTGGATGAGCACATCCAGTGCTGCTGTAGCTCTTAATTTAGGAAGAGGGAACTGCTCCCAGCAAAGTACTTGGTCACTGAAGCAGGTGGGATTTGTGCTTAGAGAGGTGTTTGTTTGCTTGTTTTTTAAACAAAAGTTGTCTGTTACATCCAGTGTGGAATTTCAGCCTCTTTACTAACTAACATGCAGTAGAAAGGTGTTGTTCAAAGGAGGGTCTGGCTCTTGCCACATCAGTCCCCTCTAGATCTTAGTGAGGCCACTTGGGTTGAGGATAAACTATTTGATAACAAAGACAGCAAAAAAAAAATACTACTTACCTTGCCAAACCTACTTAGCAGGCCTCTCACTGTAGTTCCAAAATAATAAATGTTTTCTTCAAGTTTCTTGCCACTTTCCTATAAAATAAAACAGAAAAATGCAACAACTGGAGTATAAGGGTTGAAACAAGCACCCCCACCCCCCCAAGCCAGGGCCCTTTGCAGGAGCTGCCCAGCCAAGGAACCAGCACCTTGGGTGGCACAGCCAGACAGGACCTGCTGCTGTGCCCAGGGGTCCTGGGCTGTGTCTGCAGGAGGCCAGGACTGCTGGTGGGTTTAGCAGCCAAGAGACAAGAGTTCTCTACTGCAGCATAAACTAGTCTTCCTTTTTTTTTTTTTTCTGCTTAATTAGGCAAGACTGAAGTACAGCAGGACACTGCAGAGGTCTGGAATCAATTCCGAGTGATCAACACGAAGGAACAATGCACACCAACAACAACCCACAGGCAACTGCTGCCACTGAAGAAAACACCCATGTTATCCCCCAGGTGTGTCCCCCACCACAGGAACAAACTTCCTTCTGAAAAAATGGCAGAGGAATTTTCTGCTAACTACAGTGTTTATTACCAACATCTACTCGATCACCAGAATTCCCTTCTAAGTTGACCTTTCACCACCATCCTTTTTCTTCTGAGCTAAAACATGAGAGAATTTCCATATTTACCCAAAAGGATTATAAAATGTTGCTTCTTTTCTGAGGGGAAAAAATCCCTGTTTAGATGCAGCCCTGGTATCCTGAAGCCCAACTAACATGAAATTTTTCTCTTGACAAGGACTGTTTTTTACTATTAGTCCAGTTTGCTGCTGAAAGCCAGACAGGCATGATTTTTCTACATAAAATAGGCATTAAAATTTTCTAAATGCTACTTTGGTAACTTTTCAGTATAGGCTCCTGTTTAGTTCTGCACAGCAAACCTAATTCTTACTCCAAGTGCTGCAGGTGATGAAAACCCTGAAAATCAAGCTTACCTGGTAATACCACAAGAATTCACCAGCAGTCTCAAGTTCTGGCATTAAGCAGGAAGGACATTTCCAGTGTCCTATTTGACTTTCATTAATTCATAAACACAACTAATTCATGATGCTGGTTCTTGGAATAGGAATGTAAGTGGGTTTGAAGCTATTGAGAGGAAATGTGACCCCAGCCTGTCAGAAAGGCCAGAGCTGCTGCAGTTCCAGCAGTCCAGCCAGATGCTCTGGTGGCTTTTTCTGGCAGGAGATGCTGTATCCTTCACCTTTCCTTGGTGAAGGGAGCAGGATTAGCAAGTCCTGGCAAATCCTCTTACCCTTGTGCCTGAAATACCTGACCTGGAGGACAGCGGTACATGGACTGGACAGTAAAAATACTTTTGTTACAGATCTTCAAATCATTAACAAAACATCATTTGGAAAACACACCTCACCTTTTTCCTATGAAAGGATCATGAATCATTGGTCAGAAAATACTAAGTGATTAAGTATGTGTGTATAGTTCACAGAAATTCATACCTAAAACTGCTTCATTATTAGACAAAAGTACTGATATAACAGATCATTACAAACAAAGCCTGAAGCCTCAATTTATACAAACTTCTAAACGGGATGTAAAGCTGGATTTGATACAAATACAGACTTGGAGCAGGCTTCACTGTACCTTGATGGGTACCCATCTGACATCTAGAACTAACTCTGTACCCCTGAAAAGGGGGTACACCTACTGGAGTGTGTGACCCTCACTGTTCTGAGGCACAGGCTTCGTTTTGCACTAAGAGGGTATCAAGTTGTGACACACAGTGAAAGGCCAGTGCTGGATCCAATCCCAAACCTGTGTCCCCCTTACCTGGAGGCTGGGATGCACCACTCCATGATCACCAACCAGCCCCAAATCCACTTTTCTGCCCATTGTGTCCCGTAATCTGTTTATAAACTCCCCCAGGGCCACTCCCACGTTTCCTTTCTTGATTTCTCTGAAATGGACAAACCACAGTTGTGAAAGGCCACGTCCTGGTTGCAGGGGAAGGTTCAGATATTCCAAATGCTTCACCAACACCCCTGCAGTTTGTCTAGGAATCAGCAATTCTTCTGATCCATTTTACTATCAAGCCTGGACCTACCAGCCCACCCCAGGTGACTGCTGTTCAGTTCCTCTCAAAAACACTCACAATCAACTCCTGAGACCAGATACAGACTCAGTCTTAGCAAAAAAACTTTGCTATAAGATCTTGAGTTATAAAATTTTAATTACTGGTCTGTAAGAAAGAGTTTTACACCACCTGGAATGTAAGATAAAAGGTAATAAAGTCCAAGATTTGTAAAGCTATAAAACACCCAGTTAAAAAGAAAAGACACCTCTGTAACATTTAGCTGCTCTTCAGACAGATAATACACTGAAACAACCTTTTCCTATGGTTTCGCTTCTGAACTAGAGTTAAACAGTTCTCAGATTCTGCTTAGTGACTTAGAAACTCTTAGCAATAAAGCAGAACATACTTAATTTTGTCAGTTAAGATCCTGCCCGCGTGTTGCAGCCCCGTCAGAGCGATGTACAGACGCAGGATCTCGTTTGTTCCCTGTGGAAAACAAGATACAAAGTGACATCAGTACCAAGTGCCAAGTATTTTTAGTATTTTAAAAAACCTCTTGATGGGCTGTGCTTATGTTTGTATGTTTTCCTTTGGTCCTGAAATTGGTTTTAAAAGACCCAAGGAAGAGGTAGGAGAGCAGGAGCCATGAGGCTTGATGAGCAAGGAGCTTCTGGGCACAGTTAGATTTAAGAACAAGGTACAGAGAGTGGAGCAGGGCCAGGTGTCCTGGGGGGAGCACAGACAAGTGGCCAGAGAAGCAAGGGATCAGGAAGGAAGGGCAACACACAGAGAGAGTTTGACCTGGCCAGGGGTGTTAAGAACAACAAGAAAGTTTTCTACAGGAAGACATGGGAAACTGGGCCCACTTCAGAAGACCTAGAGGCCTGGCCATGCAGGACATGGAGAAGGCTGAGGTGCTCAGTGACTACTGTGCCTCAGTCTTTACCAGCAAAGGCTCTGGTTACACCATCCACGTTAGAGAAGGTGAAGGCAGGAACTGTGAAAAGATTTCCCCACTGTAGGAGAAGAGCAGGTTCATGGCCACCTGAAGGACCTGAAGGTGCACAAGTCTATGCAGGGTTCACCCACAGCTCCTGAAGGAACTGGCCAACAAAGTTTGCAAAGCCTCTGTCCATTATACTTGAAAAGTCCTGGCAGTCTGGAGAGATCCCCACTGACTGGAAAAGGGGAAACATAACTCCCATGTTTAAGAAGGGAAAAAAGGAAGATGCAGGGAATGACAGACCAGTCAGTCTCACCCCTGTGCCTGGCAAGATCACAGAGCAGTTCCTCCTGAAGGCTCTGAAAAGGCACATGGAAAGCAAAGGGGTGACTGGTGACAGCCAACACAGCTTCACCAAGGGCAAATTCTGCCTGACTAATTTGGTGGCTTCTACAGTGGGGTCACAGCTTTGGTTGACAAAGAAAGAGCAATGTCATCTACCTGGACCTGTGCAAAGCTTTGGACACTCTCCTGCATGAGATCATGGTATGAAACTGGAACAGTACAGATTTGATGGATGGAGCACTTGCTGGGCAAGGAACTGGCTGGATGATTGCAGTCAAAGAGTGGTGATCAACAGCTCCACGTCCAGATGGAGACCTGTGAGGAGTGGTGTCCCCCAAGGGCTAGTACTGGGACTGGTGCTGGT